ACATGATGGGCTGTTTTTTAGCTGTGAAAAAAATTAATATATTGAAGGAGACTGGACTACTTTAACTCTAAGCATAAAAAATTGGAACTTGAACTTAGACACTACATCAACTCTTAAGTTCTTAGGTAAGAAGGAGAGAACAAATTTGTTCATCACACAAATAAAATAAGGTCCATTGGAATCTTTTGTATGATAAAAGTGAACTCTGAATCTTTCTCTTGAAAGAGATTAAAGATTTGAAGTTTAGATGATTCTACCCATGACTTTATTTGGGGAAAGGATCCAATTTGCTTCTAAATTATTTGAAATGTAACTGTGTTCTTTGTTTCGTGTTGGGCACAAAAATGCCTTTATCAATAACCGAATAGCTCAAAAATTGGCCCGTTTCCATTTCTCGATAAGTGATAGAATATAATAAAGATAAGATGGCATTTATAGGGAAGCTTTCAGGGTGTAACGGGAAGGGGTTGGACAAGTCAAGTACATAAGTATGTTCTTAGAATTTGAACATAATGCAAATAACAATACCAATCATTAAAACAATTTTTTGCTTGATATTGACTGAGCTATAGAGAAAGAAAGACGTAATTGTCCCATTTCATATAGTTTAGGGCTCAATTAGCCCTTTTTCCATTTGAGCTAAAGCAATAGTTAGTGGGAGGTTATTTTTGAGCTACTTGGCTAACTATGAGGACATTTTTTAGCTACTTGATTGACGATAAGGGTATTTTTGTGCCAAAACTAACGGAGGGCAAAGAGGATCCCCTTTTGAATCATTTAGGGGCAAGATGGGATTTTTCTTTACCTTTTTATTATGTCATATTATTTAGGAATGTTGCAGATTTATCTTATGCTGGACACTAAATCTTGAACATATTTAACCTTAAACTTTCAGTGGTACAAATGATGTGTTTTTTCTGGTATATGCCAAATGTACTTTGTTTTAATTAGTTAGTCTTTGATGCTTTCTTGGGTACTCCGTGGAACAATCAAGGTGCGTATAAGCCAGAAAGGATGTATAAGTTGCTCTACACAAGTACATAGCAGTAGCTTTGATATGCATATGATGTTTTTTTTTTTGCTGATGATACTGTTCCTTTTTTTTTTTTTTGAAATCTATTTGTAGAGCGCATCATGACTCCTGAAGTACCTATTGCACTGCGAACATCTGGCCATCTTCTACTTGGAGTTGTTCGGATATACTCGAAGCAGGTTGAATACTTTTCCGAGGACTGCAAAACACTACTAATGGGAGTTATAAAGGCCTTCTCGTCTACAAATGTCAATCTCCCAGAAGATGCCACTCATGCACCATACAGCTCCATCACTTTACCAGAAACATTTGAACTTGATGCCGTCGTTTTTGATGAAGATCTTGACCTGAATAGGTAAGTATCTGTAGTACTTTTTTAGTTGTCATCTTGAATCTGTAGTTAGTTATACGTGCATTTGGAATTCCAGGATTAAGGATACTCATGTTAAAAGTTACGAAGAGATAACTTTGGAAGGTATGTATCATGTTTACTTTAACTCTTCTTTTTTGTATCTTTTTCTGTTTCATTTTCAATTGAACTTTCATTTCTGAAATTTTCCATGTATAGATCAAGTTGTATCGCATGAAGATCAGTATGTTGCTATTTTCATTGATGAGGTGGGTAAATCTTTTGCTTCATAATTAGCAGCGAAGTTTCGATTTATTCACTTAAGTTGCAACACTAGTTTGACAAAGAGTTTGTTTTTACAGGACATAGTGAAGAGTTTGTCAAAATCAGGTGAAGTTTCTGGATTAGGTTCCATGCCTATGGAGATAGAGTATGCATCTTATTGACTATAGATGTGGATTGTTTCTGTTTATTGCCATGTTTGTAATAGACATTTCTTTGATGATGCAGTTCTGATCCTTCAAATTTAGATGAAACTGCTGCTCAACCCCAACATTCTTCCCCTAAGAATCAGGAAGGACTAAACAAAAGAACTGTTGGTGATGACATCCCTCAAGATTTTCCAGATATTGAACTCATGCGTGACGCTGTCCATGATCACAGTTTTGAGAATGTTCCCTTGTGGTCTGACCGAGGGAATGATGTGATGGAACCAGATAGAGTTCTGGAGGAACAGATCATGAGAGACAAGGAAACTGCAAGTCCAGTTGTGAAAGAGATATTGGCCCCCGGAGGACATTCAATCCCATCTCAACAACGACAAGAACCACCATCAACTACTTCAGCGGATGCTCATGAATTTGCTGATCCACAGATATCATTTGGTGGGTGCTTGCATGCAGGTTCTTATTATTAAACTGAAATTACATATTTGCCATGTTAATATTCTAACATGAAACTTCTTCTTTTCTTGGATATTCAGGGCATCAGTCACCTGATTTAGCACTTCTTTCAACACCTCCTCTCGAGGTGCCAAAAATAAGAAGAAAGCGAAAGCTACTCATCTATGATAAGGACATAGTATTGCCAAATAAGTATGTTAATATTTTATCATCATTAACTATATATTTTCTTCAACCATTGGTATTTTGACAATGTATCATGTTCAACTCTACAGTGAGATGAAAAGGAGACTAAAGGGCATCGGTATAAAATCACGCGAAAAGAAGAAGGTTCCTTGTTTTTCTTTGGACATCTGGAAACAAAACCAGAGACTAAGAAAAGATGGAATTTTCTTTGAGCCTTTAATTACTGGTGGGTGTCTCACAGCCATTATCTAATGAGTCTAATGTTCTTCACCTAAAAATTCAACTTCTGTTAATCTGTAGGATTATGCGATGATCTTTGCAATATCTACAAAAAAGACTTCATTTCCGCAAAAGTCCAGATGGCTTCCCCACAGGAAGCCCCTCCATCTGGGAATGATCTTCCGGTGGAAATTGAAAGATTACGTGATAACCAAGACCTTGCAAGCACTAGTTTGCTGTCTGAGATTTTGCCTTCACCAAATAGGCCTATTTCCTCTCCACAGATGTCTATGCCTTCCCCAAGTAGGCTCATTTCTTCTCCACTGATGTCCATGCCTTCCACAAGCAGAAGAGATGACTTCAGTCCTGCTACTACAACTTTAGGGACAGAATCTAGTCAGATAGGAAGAACCATAGATAGTGGGGTGCAGCCCACGCCCGACCCAGCAGCATCTACTGGGCATGTTGGTTCTCATATGGAGACCCCTTCAACATGGTTTGGAGAAGGACTAGGTGTGGAGGATACTGTCTTATCTGATATTCCTGAGTTTGATAATTCTGCTGGGGTACGTTCGATCATGGTCACTTTCTATTAAATTGTGAATCTACTTTGATATTCATCTAGATAACTTTTTCAGCAGCTTTGTATCATCCGTAGTAGTCTCATTAACCCTTTCAACACATCTTTAATAAATTTTAGACTGAGATTTGTAAATGGCTTATATTTTAACATTCTTGTGGTTATTCTCATTCAATGCTTTATTACCTAGTGCACTGCTATGGTCAACTTGTCATCCTATATGACTATTCAACTAGTTCTTCCTTTCTTTGCATCTGATAAATCACTAAATGCCATTGCAGGATCTAAGTTTTCTAGAACAAGATGACGACACTCCTATTGGTACGCTAAGAACCTCTTCTTCTTTTTTTCCTTTTAGTTTGAGGGTTTGAATTGATTTGGATAATGTTGGTCAATTTTATCTACTAATGTCTGCAGCATTGCATTTCTGTTTTTGTTATTAATGATGTAATATATGCCTGAAGCTTGTATGTCCATATGCTAAAACCAGGACTTCGAGGAACTCCTTTATCAAGTAAGCAAAGGGGAACGCCAGAGTTTGACACATTATCTGCTAGGACAAGGTAACATTCCTTGAACATTCTTCTCATATATATTTACTTTCAGGATAGTCTTTTAACTCTATGATTGCAGAGCTGTGGCTCAATATTTGAAGGGGCAGTCACCAGTAACCCTCATCTCAGAAGAGACAGGAGATATCAGCTTAAATGCAATTTTAGAAGGCAAAAAGAAAAGAATATGCGCCCGGATGTTTTATGAGACTCTGGTAAGTCCTCTACAATATTTTCATGATTAATTGCTCTTACTTGGGGACACAAGTCATTTTTTTCAAATTGAACTTTTCGTGGATGTTTGAATTGAGTCAAGAAAGGTGTATATATAAGTTTCTCTGTTAGTTGTCTATGGTATGCTTATTGCTTAGTCCAATCATATTTGGTATATATATCATAAGATCCTTACCGTCATCCTTCTGGAAATTGAATACAGGTGTTGGAGAATTGTGGACTTGTACGTGCAAATCAACATGAACCTTATGGTGATATAACTCTGAAAGTGACTTCCAAACTGACGGAGAAATTTTCAAGCTGAGACCATTGTGTAGAACTATATATAAAGGTATAATTTGTCCTAGTTTTGACTGCACCCTTAATAAATTAAAGACATAGTCGTCTTATTAGCTTAGTTTTGACCTGTCAATGCAGAAAAGTTTAAGAGGTAGATTTATCCCAAAGCTTCAGTTAATATGTTATAAATGCAACCGAAAGGAAAAAAAAACGATGCTTTTCATATAGATGAAGACTTGTATCTTGATTCTTTTACTCATTTCATAGTGGGAAGAGTTGCAGGAAATTGTTTGATAACACCTTTTTCTTATTTATATCTCAATGATATCCGATGATCAAGACTCTAAAGCAGCAGCCCTGTGCATGCACACACATACATATATTATAGAATATTGCTTTGTTGACGCATCAGGGTGTGATTTTCCTTCTGTAAAATGCTGTTAAATACTGTGTAACAATGCAGAAGTTAATTTTTTTTTGGATTGTACTTTGAATAAGCTCTTCTATTTGATGTTTTTAGCACAAATATTTGTATGGTTATTTTCCTAACAAATCTCAATGTGATTGCAGTTAAAACATTTGTACAGAGATGCAGCGGTCATGAAGATGTATAATCCTGGCAGGCATTTTGTCTAAACTATTATGCATTACTAAGTGATTTAAGTTATACAGAACAAGGTGGAAGTGACATCCGTGATGAATATAATAATCGCAAAATATTTATCATTGTACAAAGATTATCCTGCTTATTGTGCATTTGAGCTGCTCAAGCTCTCTTTTTGTATAAGTAATAACTAAATGTTCAACATACTTTATTTCTAAAGACATAAAAATTTCAGCTGGATGCCTTTTGAGTTGCTGCTGCAAATTGAGCTTTGTATAAAGGCACTAATACTTCTCTATTAGGGAGATTTTCCTTAACAATTCTACAGCACAAGAACTCATCAATCCATTTGCTTAACTTGGGAAACTTTTGTTCAGTCAACAGTTCCATCCCTATTGCTTCTTGAATTGCTCCAAACCAGAGAGCTATGTAACTGGCAACGATGTCGACGAATCCAATGCTGTCTCCTCCAAAGAACTTCTTGTTTTGAAGCTCATTGTCGAGATATTTTAAGACCTCAAAAGTTTCATCACAACCTTTCTCCCTTTCTTCTCCTTTGCCATAACAAACTTTGTACATTGCTCCCATTAACTGATGACACATTCTTGTTAGTAGACAATAACATTAAATTAAATGTCAAACACTTGGTACTCTTTTTAGATCTAAAGGAATCTCTTCTAAGTTCAAACTTCATAGTATAGTAGTAGTAATATAGTTGTGTTTAGTAGGAAGGAAAAAAAGTTTCCTATAGGAAAATATTTTTTGAAAAATAACTGATATTCTTATCTTTTTAAAAAATTAGGGGTATGGGAAGTGGAAAATATTGGGAGGCGATCCATGAACCTAGTTCAGATAGCCAACCAACTGATCTACTAAGATTTCTCAAATGATTTTCTTATTCTTGACGAAACTTGTTTTTCTTACTCTTATTAAAAAACTTACCTTTTTTCTTTTGAGAATCAAACATAAGAAAATCGAAACATATCATGCATAGACTAATTGACTCTACTCGTTGCGAATTCAGATTAGTTGGTTAGATATGAAAAAGATAAATACAAGTAAGTGGGAAAAATATATATATATATATATATATATATATATATATATATATACTTACT